AAGCTGATGTGCTGATGTGGGGTCTAACGTTTAGACGACATCACTCTACTCATTTTGATTACTTAATACTACTTCCAAGGCGACTCTTTGACGATCCAGTTAAATGGTGATCCGATAGCACGCAAAAAGGAACAAACCGTTGACATCCTATCCAATTGTTTGAGATGAACCATGCCTTCTAATGCCAAAGTTGCCGAACTTCTCGAATGGGTACGCGATCTGAAGTGAAGCTGGATATGGTTGGATCCTTGCCATCGATTTGTGGAGGCACTGTCCTGGAACAAACTTATGAAAATAGAAGACCAACATGACAGCATATATGTTCGAGAGAAAACCCGATCTAAAAGTGATAAGTAGTTTCATTAGTAAATAAAAAAAATGTAATTGAACATAAAGAGGAAATGGATTGAAGGAGAGAAAAATCCCTGAGAAATTTTGCAAAGTCCTGCTGTAGAAATTCCAACTCTCATAAAAATTGAGGAAGTAAAGCTTTAATATGGAAAAACAAGAGGTATAAGTCCTAGAAACAAAAAAAAAGACGAAAACACGCCTCAGTTGCATGGGCGTGCGACCAAATCGACTTGCTCCGGGGCACCTAACGGTGGCACGATCGACAAGGAGGTCAGCTCGGTCGATCATTGGATTCTCCTCGACAGCATTCTGTCCAAAAGGCTTACGATCAACCGCTGCAACTCTGAGATTATCTTCAAATGGGTTAGGCTGACATGTGGGGAGATTAGGGCGAAAGGCAGAAGGAATGTGGGATTCTTGCCAACCACTGATTGCATATGAAAGATCACAAACGGCAGACCTAGTCGATGGATTTCGCGCAGGTGACTGGGAAGAGACGGTCTAGGCAATAAGCATTTATCCCTGCAATCGCTGGAGGTATACAATCTGAGTTAGAAAACCTTAAATCCCACGGAAAGGGTGATGGATTAGGGACAAAGTCTCTTGACGTCGAAAAATCCCATTTTGGGATGAGTTTCGCACTCGACTTCGTTTCTGAATCGTAATGGCAATATGACTACGCATATGACCATAGCTGATGCAAATCGAGTTTTTCATTCTCCCAGACGATCCTAGAAGTTGGTTTGCTTGGGCAGGTATCAGTTCATAATTCAATCTCCAAAACATTTGATACAGCATTACCTCCTCCTAGGTTTTTACCTTTGTCATGAAGAACTGGATATAATGCAGCTTCCCCATTGTACTACTGTATCTGCATCTTTGAAAATTTGAAGTTGAGCTTTTACTAGGCACTGAAGTGCTTCTGCCACTATCTCGCTCCTATCACCCAGTAAATACTCTTGAAATCATGGACAGCGAGTAGAAGAAAGTACGAAAATTGTGAACAGGTGCAAAAAGCTTTTCTACACACACTGCCTCTTTATCAACAAATGTTTACGAGGGGCTACACGAATCTTTTTTTTTATCAACGTATCCTACCATGCACCACAACTATTTGTACAAGATTCAAGTTGAGTTTAAGTTGCACGGAATATAAGAGAAAGAAAAGAGAAAAGAGAGAAAATAAGTTTGTGTCAGTACCTCACCTACATTGCCTTTTGGAGTAGCACTACAGCCTGCATGGTTGCCATTGCATAGGTCCATATCCTATCCAGATTCTGTTTTCCTCAGTGCCCATCAGTGCCCAGAATACGGAATGGGAGTTGGTTGTGAGAACTTCCTAGGTGGGCTGAGAATAAGTCGAAACTTTATGCATTTAGTATGATAGTTCAATGAAGGCTGCCTTATAGATGCATGTCTAAGCTATTCATAGTTTTAATGATTATTGGTGTTACACTGTAATTGTTTGTGACGACCGTTGGAGCAGGGCGATTACAGAGTGGATTTCTTGGAACGAGAAACGAACACCTCTACCGCAGACGCGATGGTTAGGCTCTTGAGGAAGGAGTCCTGGGCATGTGCCCTTCGAGCGAGGACAGTCCACTGGACCACTTTCCATTCGTCCCTGGCTCGCGACAGACGTTACTGGTGCCCCTTCGAGGAGTACGACGATCAACGGGAGGAAGGTGATACAGGTGTGTTATGTCTGTATGTCGCACGGAAATATTCGTAGTGAAATGTGAGAAGAATCCAGTAAGAAAGTCATCAGACAGCTCTACTCAGGGATGCTTCACGGTTGGAGAAACAAAGCTCCTCCATATCTCCAGTACAGCCTCCTCAAACCTACCAGCTTGTGAAGGAGTATATTTATACAATGAATCATGGTGTCATGGTAGTATTCACGTTGCTATTACTTTTTGACGGGACCAGTTGCGGCTAGAGTATATTCTTCCCATAGAAAGTCCACAACCAACTTCGTGAGCACTTAGTTATACCTCACAGGAGCTATGATAACCTAGAAATACTTTTTTCAATGAGAAAACATGCTTACAATTAGGAAACATGGAAACTCACAGAGTATACAGAACTTGCAGTGGTTTGAGAAACTGGCGACATTTCTGTCGATTGATGATGACTGATATGAGCGATATGATCGCTTTCCAGGTACAACCATTTTGTACTGCGACAGTAAGCGACGGATTTCGCAGTTGACGGATGTCGCGACACAGTAACCACACACATACACACATACAAATTTAGAAAGAAAATTTCATATGTAGGGTATACCGACAGGTTTGCTGGGCATGTCAAGGATGATGAACGAGGTAAATCTTGAGGTAGAGAAGAGGTAGCCTGCTACACAGCCGATTTACAGAGACGCAGGAGCCCGACTTGAAATGAGATATCAAAAAGACCTAGAGATCATTTGCCTAGATACACCGCTAACCCAAAGGTTCACCTAGGCCAGATAACTGACCAGTGATGCCCCCGCGTTCCTGCCAACCCGCAGTAAACTTCCTGCGCAGTGCACGGCGAATCAGGACCTAATTTCTCAGAATTTACACCAAAATATTAACCTCGAATAACTGTATCATTGTATTCGAAGGCTCCAGAATCTTACCGGTATCACAGGCAAGCTTTCTCCTCGGCTTTTGGACTTTGTCCCAAGTCGAATATTGGCCCAGTAGCAGGAATTCGTTCAATACCTCTGCCTCCGTTGTAGACGGAAATGTTACTCCTCAAGAATTTCCATGAGTTCCCTTTCCACGTCCCTTAGGTCACCTTGAACGGATAAAAGCCGACACCTGGCACTAATCGCAATTACGACTCCCTTCATTAAGGATTCTCTCATTTAAACTTGGCTGTCACAGGGTAGCCTCGAAGCAGGTGGTAGTGTGGAGTAAAAGTTAGTAGCCGAACGTTAGACCCCCTTCCCCCTCCCCCCTTCCTTCCGTTCTCGAAAAAAGGGGTCTACTCCGGGACGAGTCTGAGGGCTGTTGGTGGAGCAGATTTTTCGAGAACACAATCATAAGCACTAAAGAGGACTTGAAAAATATGCCCGAGGGAGGGTGGAAGGGAGGGGGAAGGAGGGATAGGTGGGTGCCGGACTGTGTTAGGCCAGGAATGTGAAAGAAGGCCACCGCTGCTTAAGTACTTCGATGATCTCGATTCTCGATGGAATGACAAGTAGTAGCGATGAGGCTAAGATGAATTTCCACCATTGGCTTAATTGATCAGTGGACTGACTTCTTTTTCATGCTGGCCTCACCACAGTTGTGTCGCTTGCTCTTCTCAACTTTCATTTTCCATTTGTCTTTTTTCCCACATCGTTTCCCTTTCCAGGCTAACAGAAAAGTGTCTTTGGGCATTTTATTTCATAGCAATGTACAGTAATGAGATCAGTTTTTGAGGTAAATAGCAGAAAAAATCGAAGGACAAATAGAATAGGAAATAAAGCAGCACTTAGAAGCAACAGGCCCCATGAGCAAGGGGATATGTACATACATAACGGGGCAACAGCTCAAAAGATGAGAATGAGGAAGAGTGGCGGTTATGGAAGTAATCAAATTCGGGCAACAAACAACCCAAGCAGTACTGTAAACAACAGGCAACATTTTTGAACAGTAATCATCAAGTGGACATAGTTCGAAAGCGAGATAGGAGAGACGCCTCTTTCAGGCATCCCCCTTTTCTTTATGTATAGGTGCAATAGGCGATAGAAGGATGTGGGTAGAGGTTTCAGAACACCAAAGTTAAGATGGCATGTAGTCAGTCACCGGAAGGGGAATAAAAAGGAAATCGCTGGGAACCCACAAAGAGTTGGATTCGCAACTGTTCCAAGGGCGTACAAAACAAAGGCCGCCCGTCAGTATCTAGCTTTATTTTCAAGCAGTCAATAATCGTTATTTTTATGGTTCGTAAATAATATAATTGTATACAGCGTATAACTTTTATTGAGTTGACTTTTTGTTAACTGCTAATATTTTACTGCAGTACGCGATCCGGAAGTCTCACGAGGATCGCGAGCTGTGTTCAGAACTTCGATCTCGGACAGAACTCGAACACGTACTTGTGCTTTCCGAATCCTTACACTACTCCAACACCCCGTTTGCTCTCGCCTCCCTAACGGCCTTTATGCCATAGCTTATGGCATTCACACATTGTTGTTTTTGTTTACCCATACCTCGACGATCTCGTAAGATAGAGGGTGTCAACTTCAACTGGGTGTCATGTTGCTCTATCACCACTTTGAAGCGGTTTCATGCTGTAAGGTTCATATGGTAATTCAAGGTACAGAAGCTCCTTTCTGCCAAGATTACCCGAAAGCCGACACCTCTGCTCTGCTGTACTATGGTGCCAACGGAAAGGAGAGTATCATTCCTATCCATTTGCTGGGCCTCTTTGAGCTAGAAGTGCCCCTGCATTGAAAATAGAAGTCGGGCACAGTCCTAAACTGGGATGGCATACATACCCAGATCAACAGTTACCCATTGGTAAAGTTCCCACATAGCATTTGAGTGGTTCAGTTCATGAAGATTTTACAAAACAACTCGTACAATATCAACGCAACACAGTTACCCCAAGTATACCGGGTGGGGATGTCTGTAAAAGCTGAAAACATAGTACATAGTCACGCTGACGATACCGGGCAAGAACACCGTATATAGAAATGGAAATCGCTGATAGCCCCACCCAGTGTACCTGTGCTAGCATCGCCAGTGAATGCTGATCTTGCCTTTTCCATGAGACAGCTCTGTTATCAAAACGGCTACACAATTTTTTGGTTATTACAGCTTTGAGCTGAATTATGGGGAGCCAGATTATGGGAAAAGCTCACAAAAATCATCAGAACTCAGAAATTGATAGAAACGCCACCTCGGACAGCCACGCCCCTGACATGGCCATACGCGAGGAATGCTGTCACAGAGAATCAACTCGAATTTACGGAATCGTGAGAACTTTTGTGCATCATTTTTCATCGATTGACTGCTTTACTCCTATTTTTTATTTCTAAAAATAAGTTCCCCTACCCACATACTACTATCGCAGGATGTGCCTTTGAGAAAGTACAATTCAATAAGAGCTGAGCAGATGGAATAAAAATGCAACAACAACAACAAAAACTACCCGTAAAGCATTTAGCGGTGATGAAGATGAACCGCCCTGCAAGCTGGTTGAAGCAAAATTCCACTATACAGTAGTCTCAATCTTCTGCATCGCCCGCATACGATCCAGAGTAGCACTGAAAGTATAAACTCCATCAGAGAAAAAGGTTGAAGTTTTGGTGTTCCTGTAGAATACTTCGATTATCGAAAAGAACGTCCAAACTTCCCAATTTTTCACTCATCCAACTAAAACCGTTTTGGGAGCTTGTTTACTGCATAGCATCATGTAAACATACNTTTTTTTTTCGAACTATTGTCATTCCAAATAGCATAGGCTTTGTACAAGTTCGTTTTTTATGAACGGGCGGGGATTATTAACGCTCCAAGACCTTCTAGACTTTGTTATATGATACAACGCTGATCCTATTATTTATGTATCTTTCAGTCCTCACTCCCAAAATGTATTCGCGAGTTATCGAACACATCCCTCCTTTCACTTTGATCCTTATCATCACATAGAAGACAAAAAGTTTCCTATCGAAGGAAGCAAACATTCAAAAGTGAAGCATTCGGCTTGAAAACCCAAATATGGAAGCAGAACTAACGTCGTTTGTACACTGGCGTCAAGTGAATTGGGCAATTCGACCGGATCGAAGACAGAGTCGTTTAGACCACCCCATGAACGTCGTTTTGATTCGCATTCCTCCTTAGCTTGTGAAGAAGGACCAGGTCCCATCCGGTATTCACCGAGTTCTTCCTGCAAACAGGGACGATGGATGAGGCGATAGGTCCTTTTGGCTGCTCGCCAAGCTGTCTAGAAAGACTCACCTTCAATTTCTGCAACTTCGCGGCATTACTGTTGTTTCGGGTTCGAATTGGTGATCCCATTTCCGATTCAGTTATGGGATGGATGCTCTGAAACACTTGGAACCGATTCTCCTTCTTAAAAGTTTTGAGATCTCATGCAAAACACGGATGGCGCAGTGGTTACGAGCTTGGTTTGCGCGCGAAAAACCGCTGGTTCGAGCCCTCGTACGTACAATAGTCGCTTATCATCAGATTCCAATCAGGTCAAGAGAGCTTTTCTGGTCGACTTTCATCCGAACACTTTGTCTCACAGCCAAATACTTATTGGTTTTCGGCTGGGCCCGATCCAATGGCAGGTAATGGAAATACAGACCCTTGATGCAGTACCCTAAGCCTGCTCTCCTAATTACATCACTAGAGCTTCCGTTCAAAAAGTGAAAACTGACATCTGCCTTCAAAGTGTCCACTTCAGTATGTGTATCATCAGGAAAATCGTATTCGCTCATAATCTTTTTGTGCCGATCCAGCAATCGCTTAATCTCGTCCACATAATCGTCCGGCAAGCGTTCCGTTTCTACTTTCCGCCTGAAATCTGGAAATCCTGACGAGAATGATTTATGGCGGAAAGAAAAAGAGCTAGAGAGGCTAATAAGGTTTCGATAGCATGTTTTTGCACCCTTTCGCTCCTAACAACGTTCGTGATTCTCTGGTATTCCTTGACATAAGTTGGATCTGACCCTATCCACAAAGTTACTTTTTTGGGTAAGGTAACCTAACACAAGAAACTTGATCCCTACTCCTGAGTAGGAAGTGGGGACTCAACCGAGATATACTAGAGAAATACCAATCTGCACCGGTAGGCGGCGAGACACCTTGTCGACGGCAAGTTTTGGCTAGTTGTCTTAGGGCGCGACATCTCGTACCGAGCTCCCAATGGCTCCCACTGACGAAATTAAATGTGGTCGTGACAGTAAGATCGGAATTTGATTTTCGTTATCTGTTTTACTTTTTCTGTTTTTGTTCCCTCCCAGTTCCCTTTAGCCTTGCCTTCGTCGCCAGTGATGGTACAAAGGAAAGGGAGTTTTTTTGAACTTTTTTTAGAATTCGTTCATAAGTTAGAAGGGTAGAGCTTTGCGACACAATTTCCTGATTCTGGCAGAGGTCTGACTAGGCCGCAGAGCCTACTGCATATAACAGTCAACAACTGCCGTTTCCTTTCGGACCACCTTTTTTAATGGCTCGAATGGTTTGCGGCGTAGCCAAAAACTGGGACAAGTAACTAAGATAAGTAGATAGCTGAGACAACTAACTAAAAGCACTTAGCTGGATAAGAGATTGTAACACCTGTATCTTGCACCTTTCTTGTGTGCTCATCACCGACCCAAACGGGACGGTGCAGTAGCCTCGCTAACACAATCACAGGCCCATCACCTATAGAGTCACCTCTTCGATGAAAGAGACTATGGCTTATTCTCGTAGGGTACGAAGATGATCATGAGCTGCTGTATTTCTTTGTCTGGACAAAAACACGATTAGTTTACGCACATCCTAATAATATTCTGCTAGCAATCAGTGAGATGGGGAGTGAAAGCGAACGAAAAAACAAATAAAAAAAAGATTCTCATTCCAGCTTTCCAAAAATATAATTACCAGAAAAACAATTTTGTTTTTACCTGGCCGATCTCCAGTTGTCGAAACATGACGCTAGACATTGAGCGACAATTAATACAAGTGCCAAAAACAGTGCCGTAAACAAGCAACCTGCCAAGATTTCCGTTGCTTGCCAATCGATCATCTGAATTCGATCAATACAACGATAAGCAACATTATCAAATAACAATAATCGTCACGTTTATGAACAATTCGGTGTATGGCAGATTAGATTCGATCCAATCGAAATTCAGCTTCAGAGTTAAGGCAACCGCGCAGCTGCGCTTTTTTGTGAAAAGTGATAAATGTGGTCATAAAACTGCGTAGTAAATGCTTACAGAGCTAGCCCAGCAGAAATACTGCTCAACAACTGTAGCCCCCCACCTGCGAGTGGATAATTGGATATTATCAGAAGTTGAGTGCGAAAATTTCATTAAAAAGGCGACAATTATCGAGATGATTCTTGATTGGAAAGGACTAATTAACCAGACATTACACAGCACAAATCACATTAAATATTCGAATCAAGGCATGGGAGAATCATAAAATTCTGTAAGTCCTCTATGATGAATATTCCTTGTAGATTCCGTTGCAACAGCGCAGTTGCATTTGCATATGCAGGATCGAAGAGGAATTTCATTA